CCCCCCCCCCCCCCCCCCCCCCCCCCCCCCCCCGGTGCGGATAGTCCGCCGCCATGCCCCAGAACGCACACAATAGCCGGATCTTTTCCCTGCCGGTCCCCAAGCAGGCATCCTTCAGCTCGTCGACCGAGAGCAGCCCCAGCCTGTCGGCGGACTTTGGCGGCTTCTGCAACTTCGGCGGCTCCAGCAAGGCCAGCGACCCGCCGCAGTTCACCGAGCTCTACACCCTGGACTATGCCCTCGGCCGTTCGCCCAGCGGCCGGGGCGATGTCTTGTGCGTCGCTCGGTGATCCCACCCACCCACCCACCCATGCGCACCAAAGCCGCCCACCGGGCCAAGCCCACTGACAACCAAATGGCCCCATGCAGCGTCGCCACCACCATCGTCGATCGCGCGCCGGTGCACATCCGTCGACTGTCGCTCCTTGAAACCACGCCCAGTGGCCCGGGCCCGGTGTCGGCCAATGGCAAGCATGTTGCCAACCCGGCCAGCGGACTGGATGGCTCCCATCGCGTCACGGCCCCGGCTCCGGAGGAGGGCGCCGGCCCGTCCCCCGGGTCGCCGCCTACCGCCGGGCGTGTGGACAACTCCCCGACCGCGAGCATGGCTCGCCAGACCCTGACGAAGTTGACCGCCGGCAAGCTGCGCCCCTCCCGCAGCACGTCCCCCTCGTCTGGCTCCCGGGCCGCCATGGCCGCCGGCTGTGCCAACATGACCAGCACCTTCATGACGCAGTCCGCCGCCTATGAGCTGGCCATCCTGTCATCCACCAGCCACCCGAATGTGCGTGCTCCCTACCATTCCGCCCCCCCCCCCCCTCGCCTCACCTCCTCCCCTGCTTGAAGACTGGTCCGGGCCCCTTGCATCGTGCCCGCCTCTGACTGACTCTCAATTTCCTCCTGCCGCTGGCGGCGCCCCCCTCCCCCCATAGATCGCCGCCCTGCGTGATGTGTTTATTTCGCCCAGTTGCGATCTGTGCGTGCTTGGCTCCTTCGAATCGGGCAACCATGCTAAGGTCGCCGAGCCTCTCTGTCTCCCTGCCTCTCTCCCTCTCCCTCTCCCTCTCCCTCTCCCCCCCCCCCCCTCCCCAGCTCGTGCTGCTGATGCATACTCACCACCCGGCTCCCGGCCCCATTCACCTCACCCTCCTGTTCTCTCGGCCCATTGACCACGCGCGCTTCTCCCGCACAGCTACATTGTCACTGAGCTCTTGGACTCGTCGGCCTCCTCGCTGCTGGAGGCTGCCGCCTCTGGTGAGCTGTCCATGGCGTCGCTAAACATCGGGGTTTTCGCCGCCGGTGGCCGTAAGAAGGCTGGCGAGCCGGCTCCCTCCATTCACTCGGTCTATGAGCGCACCGCGCAGGCCTACCTCCGGGGGGCCATCAGCGCGCTGGCTGTGCGTGCCTGCATCTCCCTGCGCGCTGTCTTCCTTCTTCCCTCGTGCCGCCTCCACACCCTGCCTTGTGCGCCCATTCCCACTTTTGCCATGACATCCCAGCTGACCTTTCGCCCCCTGCCCACCTCCCGGCACTGGCCATCTCCATTGCAGCATCTCCACTCGGCCGGGGTCACCCATGGCTGTCTCACCACCGCCAGCCTGCATATGTGCTCCAAGACCGGTCGCGTCCTCGTGCGTGCCAGGATCTCATCGTGCAGCCCCCTCACCACCCCATGCTCGCCATTCTGCGCCTGTTCTTCTCATCGCACTATGCCTGACGGGGATCGCCCCGTCGCCCTCTTCACTTTGGCTGACACCTCCGCGCCTGGTCCTGCCCCCCCCCCCGCCCTTTGCAGCTTACCGACGCCGCATCGCTGCCGGCCACCAGTGGCGACTGCCCTCCTGGGCCGTATGCCGCTCCCGAGGCGGCGCTCTGCATGGGCGGTGCGCCGTCGAATGTCGCCGGGCAGCGCTTCGATCCCCACTCCTTTGAGAACCGCGCGGCGGCGGATTCCTGGTCGCTGGGTGTTGTGGCTGCGCAGTTGGCTCGCGGCCAGCACGAGCAGCTGACCGACAATTCGCTCACCTCGCGCGCCATCTCCTGGGCGCGCATCCTCGTGGGCACCTTTGGCCCATGCGAGGCTGAGTCCCCGGAGAAGGTGGCCGCCCCGCCAGACGCCAAGAACTGGGATGGCGTTCGTCAGGATGTGCGTGTGCTTGCGTTTGTGTTTCTCTCTCTCTCTCTCTCTCCCTCTCTCCCCCTCTTCCTCCTTCGCCTGGCCCCATGTCCGTCCTTTTGGACATGTGGACGGGCGTTGGTGTACCTCCCGAAGTGCGTGTCTGCATGCACGGAACTGACCATTGGGCTCTCTTTTTTTTTTCTTGCTTCCCCTCTGTCTCTCGACCTTGCCGTGCGGCTTCCGCTTGCCACGCGCTCTGTGTAGGTCCGTGATCTGCTTGAGAAGCCGCTGGCTCGCGCGTCGCGCACCCTGCGCGACCGGTACACCCGGTCATCGAGCATTGCCCCGGGTGCGGGTGGATCCCTCCTGCCATCGGCCAGTTCCGCCCTGCACAACACCTCCGGCTCGGACTCGGCGTCCTTGCGTTCGGTCGGCTCGGTCAGCTCGGACTCGGCGTCCATCGCCCCGAGCATCGCCGGGCTTGGCTCTTCTCTGCGCTGTGAAGAGGCGGCCGACATTGCCGGGCAGCTTCTCCGCCTGGCTCCCTCTCGCCGGATCCTCCCCTCCTTCCTGCTGACTTCGCCGCCGTCGTCTCTGGTGCGCATGCCATTGGCTCCTGCTCTTCCAATTGCCCCCTGCCCGAGCTCCTCCCTGTGCAAGTTCCCTCGTGTGATCACCATGGGGGACGATGGGCGGCGCGCATTTTCGCATGGGCGGCCCCCGTGTGCCCGACGACCGTCGACCAGCCAAATCGAACAGCAACTAACGCGGTATCATGGAACGATGGCCGGACTTTTCCTCCTCTCTCCCCCTCTCTCTCCCTCTCTCTTGCTCCCCCCCGCCCCCGCCGCCCTCCACAGCCCACCCCCATCGAGCTGCCCATTTTCCGTCCCACCACCTCCGGCATCCCGCACTCGGCCTCCCTCTCGTCCATCACTTCCAACGCGTCGACGAACTCCAAGTGCTCCCTCAGCGTGGGCTTCGACCTGCCTGAGGGGACATTCTCGCCGGAAGACCTGGCCGGGTTCGAGGCGATCGCGTGGATTGCCAAGTCGGTGAATGAATTCCACCAGTCAAACGGTATTTACTTCTGAGCAGTCGGAGGCACGGCATCCACGACCACAGCAGCCGCATGTTCCTCTCTCTCTCTCTCTCTCTCCCTCTCGTCTGCCGCTCTGCGCTTCCGTTTTCCCATGCAGACGGGCCACCGGCCCGTCGAGCCTCTCCCTCTCTCGCTCGGAGTGCTGCTTTTTCCGCCCGCTGCCTGGCCGACTTGCCGGGCGACAAAGGGAGCGCTGGGGATGTCTTTGTTTCTGGTTGCTTTCAGTTTCTGCTTCCCGTCCGATGTACACCTCCTCGTCTCCCCAATTTTCGCCTGTTGGAGGATCGCCCCCCTCCCGTCTCTCTCTCTCTCTCTCTCTCTCTCTCTCTCTCTCCCCATCCCCCATCGAAATGGGCGCAGCATCTCTCCCCCTCGCTCGCTCTCTCCCTCGCTCGGTGTCCTTTATGTGCGCGCCATGCGCACTTGGTATTCAAGGCATCGCGGGAGCACGCGCCCTCCCCGCCCCCCCCCCCTTCCCCCCCTCCCTCCCCCTTCTTCCGCTCCATCAACAGGTTTTTGCTTCCTCTGCTCGCCCGCGCACCGCCCGGCCGCAGCAGCGGGCCACATTTTGATCCACTTCCTCCCCAGGAGCGCGACTGTCACCGCAGGGTGACGGCCAATGCCTCGTCCGGAGGGCCCCGCCATGTGTGCATATGCATGTGGGTGCGGGCGTGGGTGCACATATGTTCCCCCCCCCTCCCCCCACATCCCCGATGCATTCTCTGCCGGCTGCCTCGCCCTCCTCCTCTCTCCGCCTTTCCTTCGCCCCCCCCCCTCCCTCCCTACCCCCCAACCCCTCCTCTTCTTCACAGAAAGAGCGCGCACGCAGGCTGCATAAATGTGCTCTTCCTCCTCATTTTCGTGCCCATCTCTCGGCGTAGTCCTCGTCGAACCTCCGGCAAATAATAAAAACCCTAGACATCACAGTGTGCTGCGATCTTCGCCGCCATGTAGGCGCGATGCCGGCGACCGAGGCCCAGCGGTGTGCGTGTGCGTACCACCCCTCCAAGCTCACATCCCTCGAAGAAGGGGCGGGGGGAGCAAAGCACAAAGCAGCACAGGGCCGCCCAGGTCGTGAGGAAAAAAAGGCCCCAGCAACGATCCAGGACGCGCTCGGCGGGTGGCGCTCCCGGCATGCAGGGGCGCGAGGCGAGGCGAGTCAAGAGAAAGGCAGACAAGCTAAGAAGAGGATAATGTATTGACATCTGACGGTGCCAGATCCCGATGCGCGTATGGGGGCATTTGACATGGGTCCATGTAAAAATACAAACATGGACACAGGCGGTGCCCGCATGTGTGGCGTCCATGAATGTGGCAAGAAGACATCTGTGTATGGGGAGCGATGCTCGAGGCAGGGCCGGTAGCCAGCTCGCGCATCGCCGGAATGTGGCTTCACCCTGCGCCGAGGCCCCGCGCACGCCCCCTCTCTGACAGCCGCACATTCGGGTGTACCCCCCCTCCCCCCCCCCACCTCCCGCTTCCCCCGCAGGGGGCGCGCAGGGGAGGCGCCGAGGGGCAGAGGAGGGAAGACAAAGAGCATGCTCGCGGGGCAGGGAAGGAACTGTTTCCCTGCAAGGCATGAGGCCTGGGCGGGGGGAAGGGTGGGAGAAAGGGGGGCAGGGGAAAATTGCAAGGAAAGGCAAAAAGGAGAGCATCTGCATGGGCGAAGGAGGGCGGCGAGGGGCCGAGCGAGGGGAGAGTGTGGGTATCTCTCTCCCGCGGAGCCGGCGGCGGATGGAGAGAGGTGTCAAGTTCGCCGCAGGGACCCATATGAGGGGCCACCCCCGGGGACCGGTGGAGGGGGCTCCGCCGTCGCGGTGTCGGACGGCGGGGCGGCAGCACCACCATAGGGGCCGCCCACAAAGTCCGCCGAAGCCGTCAAGTGCAGGGGGACTGCCTACTGTCGCCGTAGGTGGACAACAAGGGGAGGAGAGCAGCAAGTCAAGTTAGCGACGGGGGCGGGAAGTTAAAAGAGGACTCGGCCTCGAGGGGGGGGGGGTGCCTCTGCACCAGCCTGAGCAGAGAGAGAGAGAGAGAGAGAGAGAGAGAGAGAGCGGGGGGGGAAAACGGGGCGAGACACACGGTACTTACCTGAGAATGATCCAGCCAGGGCCCGCCACCGCGCCCGGCGTCCTCAGCCTGGGGGAAGCTATCGAGCGAGAGCACGCGCGACCCGCCATGCTGGTATGGTGCCGACTGATGGTGGTGGTGGTGGTGGTGGTGCTGCTGCTGCTGCTGCTGTTGCAGGGGGTACTGCTGGTATGGCGAGTAGTACTGAGTCTGCTGCTGCTGCTGCTGCGACATCTGGTACGACGACGCCGACTGGTGGGAATGGTAGGCCGCCGCCTGGGGGTGCGGCAGCGATTGCGAATGGTACGACTCGATCTTCGGGCCGGCCATGCCCCCACCATGCATCATGGCATAGGGCAGGGACACGCGCGGGATGATTTCCGATTCGTCGACCAGGCGCGTGAACCCCTCGTCAGCCAGAAGGCTGCCCGAGGGGAGGGTCCAACCAACAGCTGGCGCCTCGGCCGCAAGCACATGGCTGCCGGCCATGTCAGGCCCGCCGCGAGTGCCGGAGTGCTGTGGTTGTTGCGGTTGCTGCTGCTGTTGCTGCTGCTGCTGCAGCGGCTGCGAAGAGTGGAAGGACCCGGGGGGAGCGCCGGCGGTGGCGGCCGCGGCCGCCCAAGCAGGCCCGGGAGACTCGGCACGCGAGTCGGTGGCCGCGTGCGGGAGGCTGCCGGCTGCCGGGCCGGCGCCAGCCCCATTGGCAATGGCGAAGTTGGCCACCGCCAGGGCGCTATTGGCCGACATGTGGAGATTGTCCACCGACCGACTGCCGGGGGAATTGGGCATGGACTTGGAGGAGAGGGTGGTCAGGGAGGAAGAGGAGAAGGACGTCGGCAGGTGGCCGATGGAGCCGGAGAGAATGTGTGGCCGGAAGCCGGACATCGGGCCAGGGCCCGGGCCGACCGGGGTCGACACGCTGGTGGACGACAGCAGGATGGACTGGCCGACACCGTCGGCCGCGCCGACCGGGGTCGAGATTGCCTCCACGTCGTTGCTTCCGCCACGCGGGCGCTTCAGCGATTGGGGGGGAATGGTCACGGACGCCGACCCCGGGGCGGCCGCCGGGAGCACATCACCGGAGTAGGGGCCGCCTGGCGAGGGCGAGGGAGCGGCAGTGCTGGCCCCGGTGGCTCCGCCGGAAACGGCTCCTGACTGCCGGTGCGGGCCGAGAGCCGACCCGGCGGCCGGGATGTGCCCGCCAGTGCGAATGCCTGTACCAGCAGCACCGCCGCCGGGCGGGACGATGGCCAGGTCGCGCGGCGCCAGGCGCGAGTCCGAGAATGACCGGACCATGCCGGCACCATCATACTCGAATCCCGCCAGGGACACGGGGGTGCCACTGCCGCCGTTGGTAGTGGTGGTGGTGGTGGTGGTGCTGCTGCTGCCGCCGGCAGCTGTCGAGGAAGCCGGCGGCGGGCTGGTCACCACATGGGGGAAGTGCAGCGGGCCACAGCTCCGCCGGAGTTTGTTCGGCTGTGGCGACAAAGGCGCCGCGCCGGCAGCATTGCCACCTGCCATGGGCCCGGGGCTGGGCGGCGACAGGGCCGACAAGGAGGCCTTGCCAACCAGGTGCCCGGCCGAGGCCGAGTGTGTCATGCCCTGATGCCCGTGCGGGCCGCCGCCGCCGCCGCCACCGCCGGGCCCGCCAACGCCCGCCTCGACCGTTAGGTGGGACAGGTGCGGGGGGTGCTGCTGTTGCTGCTGCTGCGAGTGGTGCACCAGGGGCTGGAGATGCGGGTGGAGATGCGGGTGATGATGAAGAGCGCGCGTCGCGGCGACCGCATTGTCGCCAGCTCGCCAGGGGGCCTCGCCGGGACCGCCCCCGGGGCCGGCCGCATGGGGAGACTGCTCCTGCACCGGGGTATTGGTGCCGGAAATGGGCGTCACCTGGGCCATACTGCCGGCGGGGTTGGTGCCTCCGGCGCTGGTCGCCCCGCCCCCCGGCGAGGTGGGCAGGACCACCACCTTCGGATAGAGGGCCGCCGCCACCGAGGACGGATGTGGCAGGTTGGGCGAGCTCATGGACGAGATCATGCCCCGGCCAGAGCCGCTGCTTGGCGGGCCAGCCGCGACATTGGTCGCCGACTCGGCGCCCGGATCCGGGTGGTGTTGAGACAGGTACTCGATGGAGCCGGTGTCCGGAACCGGGCCCGGCCCGAGGGCCGAGGCGCCACCGGCATCCGGCACCTCGGCCACGGCCCGGGCTCCGAAGAGGTCTGTGCGTCGGGCGGGACCGAGGAGCCCCGCTCCCAGGCCGGCATCCAGGTCCTGACCATGGTACGAGGCTGCCGAGCGCAGGGTAACCTCCGGCCCGGCAGTCGACGAGTTGGCCGGCTGCGCAGCATCAGGCTGCAACGGGCTGATGACCATCTGCGCATGGTGGTTGCTGCCACCGGCATGCTGCTGCTGCTGCTGCTGCGAATGGAGTGGCGTGTGCAGGTGCGGATGCGAGTGGGGATGGTTCGCGTGCGGATGCGGCTGGTACTGTGGGGCATATTGTGCCTGCGAGGAATACTGCTGCGACTGCGGCTGCTGCTGCTGCGAGGAGAACGGCGACTGCTGGCTGGCATACTGCGAGAAGCCGCCGGGAACCGCCGCCATGGCCCCGGGGGGCGGGGAAAAGTGCGGCAGGCTGAAGTCCCCATGCAGGGGCACGGATTTCACGGCCCCCGGAGGCAGCACATTGGCCGGGCTGCCGCGCAGGTCGCCGGTGCTCCCGAGAAGACCTCCAGGCAAGCCGGCCGTCGGGGAGGCCGAGTCGAAGGTGCCGCTGGTCGAGGGCGGCATGCCGCCGCCACTGGCCAGGGAATCAGGGCGCCCGTGGGCCGGATGGAGGTGATGGTGCTGCGACGGGGGGTGATGGCCCTGATGCTGGTACTGGTATGGGTGATGCTGGCCGGCTCCCAATGGCAGGGACCCGGCACTGGCGGAGTGCCGCATGAGCGGCCGCCGGCCGGTGGCCTTAGCCGCCAATATGGCCCCCGGCTGGAAGTCATACTTCCCGGGGCCCATTCCGACCGGGCTGGGGGCGGCCCCGGCCGGGGTGGTCCCCATGCCATACTCGCTGCCGGCCCCGGTGGCCATGGATGGCAGGTCCCCGGCCGAGGGGGTGATGGCACGGCGAAGGCCAAAGCCCGTCGGGCCGCCGACCGGCGATGCGGCCATTGCCCGGCCGACGGCCGGCGGCGCATGATGCTCGTATGGACCGCCGGCCGTCCGGGCGGCCCCGGGCCCGGCGGCCGAGAAGCCCACCGTCGGCGAATGGCTGATAGTCAGTCGCGAGGGGTCCGACACCCCGAGCGGGCCAATCTCCAGGATGGGCGTGAAGGACATCTTCCCGGGGGGCCCGGCCGCCAGGGAGGCGGTGCCCTGCATGTAGTGCATGCCGGAGGGGGGATTTTGCGACTGGTGCGACGGATGGGCCTGGTGCGGGTGGCCGAAGGCCTGCGGCGGCGGCGGCGGCGGCGGCGGCGGCGGCTGGCCCAGGCCCATGCCCGAGGGGAAGTGGTGATGCGACATCGGGCCGCCGACCGCGTGCTGGGGCTGCGATTGTGACGGATGGCCCCCGGCACCGGGGGGGAACATGCCCATCGGCGAGCGGGCCAGCGCACCGGGGGCCTGATGTGCGTGCTGCTGCTGTTGCTGCTGCTGCAGACGCATGGTCTGCAAGTCGAAGGCGGCATACTCGCCGCCGGGAACCACCGGCATTCCAACCATCCCGGTGGCCAGGGCCTCGGCACCGAGGAATTGCATCTGCCCGACGCGCCCCAGGCCGGACATCCCCCCGAGATCCATGAGCCCCATGGTGCCGGGGAGGAGACCGGCCGCGCCGGGGCCCACCCCGACACCGGACACCACACTGGGCATGGTGGCAGTAAGGCTGGCCGTGACCGAGATATTGTGAGCGCGCTGCCGATGGCTGCGCAGGGAATCATCCCGCCGGTATGTCCGATGGCAGATGTTGCACTGGTATGCCCGGTACCGGTGATGCTTCGGCAGGTGGACCTTCAGATTGTAGGTCTTGCCCGGGGCATTGACATAGTTGCAGCCGCGCCACTGGGCATGGAGGGAGGAGGGGGGGGGGGGGGAAACACAAGGTGAGTCATGGAGCCGAACATTCGCCAAGCCGCGGGAGCACAAGGACAAGGAGGAGGGCGAAGAGGGCGGCCCCACATCAGCAGGCCGAGGAAGCGCAGGGCACCAGTGCGCCCTTGGCGCGCGGGCCACATACCTGGCACTGTTTCTCCGGCTTGTGCACATCATGCAGATGCTCCATCAGCTCGCGCGCGGAGAGGAACTCATCCCGGCAGTCGCCCCACTTGCACTGGAAGACATTGGATTGCTCGGAGGAAGGGGTCCCAGTGGCGTCGGAATCCTCCTTCATGTCGTCATCCTGCCCGGGATCCGAGCCGGGAGAGGGGGGCTCGGAGGAGTCCCCCGGGGACTTGCTCGAAGCGCCGGAGACGCCATTCCCAGCGGTGACGCCGGTCGACCCGGCAGCCGGGGGGCCAGCGGAGCTGGCACTCGCGCCGGCCGCCGGAAGCGACACCTTGCACCGGGTGTCGATGGTGGGCCGGTCCTTGGCCGAGCGCATGGACTCGCGACCGGCGGCCGGGGGATTGCCGGGGGCGCTGTCCCCGCGGCCCGGAGCCGGGCCAGGCGCTCCCGGCGCGGTGACCGGAGGCACGCCATCGGCCGCGGGGGCGCCACTGGTGGGTGCCTGATGCCGGGTGGCGGCAGCCCCCTCGGGGGGCATGCGCTCCACCACGGGGCTGGAATACATGGCAAAGGAGGAGCAGGCATTGGAGGGCGATGCGGGGGCCGCTGTGCTGGTGGTGCCCGGCGCGGGCGATCCCCCCACCGGGGCCCCGGCCCCAGGGGGCGACGTGGGAGACAGGGCAGCCAGCTGGGGCTGGGGGCCGGGCCGGGCCGAGGGCGACCCGGCGCCGCCGCCGCCGCCGCCACTACTGCTACCACCACCACCACCACCACCACCACCACCACCACCACCACCACCACTGGAGCTGGTCAGTGGCGATACCGGGCACGAGCGCGAGCTGGCTGACCCGGACACCAGGAGCCCCGGGCCGGAGTGAATCATCCGGCCCGAGGACAAATCGGCTGCCGGGGACTTGGGCGAGAAGAAGCCGGAGTCCGAGTTCAGCGGGTTGGTCGACGTGAGCAGCGCATCGGGCGACACCGGCAACGAGCCGCCGGTCAGGGTGCCACCGGGGCCGCCATTGATGGCGGCGGCGCTGGCGGCGCCCGGCTGCTGCTGGCCATGGTGGCCATGGTGCGCATGCGGCGCGTGATGGTGCTGCCCGGCCGGGGGTCCATGACCATGCATCGGATGGTACAGGTGTCCGGGAGCCGGGGGTGGACCGGCCGAGCCGGGACCCATGGCGGAGAAGTAGCTCTGCGAGGCGAGCGACCCCCGGCGGCTGGTGGTCGGCGAGACGCCGGTAGAGCAGGCGTCCGATGACGAGGGAACCGGCGTGTACAGGCTGAGAGAGCTGTCGGAGGAGATGGACGGTGTGAGGGACCCACTGGAGGAGTGCAGCGATGAGGGGCCCAGGCTGTTGGGGGTGATGTCCAGATGCGGCCGCCCGGCGACCACCATTCCGGGCAGGTCGCTCGATGGCCGGCGCGTGGTGTGCTGGTGACCGCCTCCACCGTTACCGGAGGCCGGCTCCGGCGGCGAGAGCATCTTGGCGTCGTCGCGGAATTTGCCAGCTTCACCGGAAGGGGGATGCACTTCACGAGGAGCCCCGCCGGCAGAAGGCGATGACAGTGGCCCGGGAGACTGGCCGCCGGGGTGGGGGTAGTGGTGTTGGAGTGGCGCCTGATAGTACGGCGCCGAGGAGGCCGGGTGTGCTTGGTGCCCGGCGGAGCCCCCGGCCGGGGATGCGTGATAGTGCTGCCCCGGGGCAGGGGCATCCCCGTGGAGGTGGTGCCGGTGCTGCTGCTGCGGCATATGCTGCGACGATGGCGGTGGCGCCGGCGGCGGATGGGGGTGTGGGGCCTGGTGCTGCTGCTGCTGCTGCTGCTGCGGATGCGGATGCGGATGCGAGGAGTGGCCCGGGTAATGGGCATGGTGATGATGGCCCGGGGCCTCATGCAAGGGGCTCATGGCTACCTGCGGCGTGGCCGGTGACCCGCCGACCCCCGGGTCGAAGAGGGCCCCTCCGTCCGAGAAGAAGTGCTGGGGTGGATAGGCGGTGAAGAGGGAGTCCGACCGACCACCGACACCAGGATCATGCACCGCGGCCCCGGGGTCCGAGAGGAAAGAGCCAGGCCCGGAGCCGACGAGCTGCTGCTCGTTCATCCTCTGGGGCAGGGGAAGAGGCCTGGGTGTCGGGAGGAGCAGGGAGAGGATGGTGGGGCGGGAGAGGGGGGAGCAAAGGCCGACAGGCAGAAGGAGAGCAGCAAGAGATAAGTGGAGGAAGAGGGCCAGGGCCGGGGCGAGGGGGGGGGGGAGAGAGAGAGAGAGAGAGAGGAGAAGGGAGGTGAGAGGGTGGTGAGGCCGCTGGACAGGGTGATGGGGGTGCCTTTGGGGCGCGCGCGTAGCAGCAGCAGCAGCAGTAGCAGAAGGGGGACACCACACGCACGAGGGAGCTGGGAATCGGGGAGCCAGCCGAGGAAGTTTCAGCCCGAGCGAGTTGTTGTCTCAGCTGAAGACCGGCGAATCCTATCGCGGGGGGGAGGGGAAAGTGTGTCGGCGGAAAGTCAGATCGACGCAAATGGCAGATCGATGGCACTTGGCCGGGTGCCTGACGGGCCGAGAGAGGAGAGATACGTGGGATGATCGCGTGCTCATGCAGACGGCAGCGGGGGTAGGGGCTAGATGGGGGAGGGGGGGGGGGGGAAGAAAGCGCACCATTCCGCACGCGAGAGCGACTCGCGATAATGTTTCTCTCCCGCTCGCTTTCTCTCGCTCCCGCCGTCACACTCGCGCACAGACACACACGCACACCGGGGGAGGGGCGACGGACAAGAAGGCGGAGGGGAGGCGAGGTGGCAGGAGGAGGAGGAGGAGGGGGGGGAGGGGGAGGGGAGGGGAAGCGGCTCTCTCCCTCGCGATGTGTCTATCACGCGTGGGTGCGCTCTTTCGCGCGTGCTCGCTCGCTCTCGCTCTCTCTCTCTCTCTTTCTATCCGCGTCTGCAAGCCGGCGGCAGGAGAGCGACCGGCGGAGGGGACAGGGGGCCGGGGGGACAGCAGGTGGAATAGAGCGCGGTCAGCGGGAGGAGGGGGGGGGGGTGCGGATAGGCTAGCGGAAAGGGGAGGGGGGGGGGGCGGAGGGCGATCGAGAGGAGTGCTTGCTGCCCGCGCAGAGGGAATGTGAAATGACAATCACTCATCAATTATGCAAGGGTAAGGGGGTGGGAGGCCACAGGGTGGGGGTGGGGGCGCGCGCGCGCGCGCGCGTAGAAGGACACCTCGGCCCCAGCACCGAGAGCCGGGCGCCCGGCCATGACATCCGAAGCCGCGCGATCTGCATCTACCCTGGGGCGGGCGGGTGGGCGCGGGAAGCCGGGGGCAGGGGCATGTGTCGGGGAGGTGTGTGTTCGCGCGCGCGCGCGCGCGCGGCCGGCCCCGGGAACCTGCATGGGCCGGCACATGGCCGGCAGCCACACCCTTGGATCGGTGCTGGTCGTAGACACGCCGGCCCGGGGGCGGGGAGGGCCTTGCGGCCGGAGCAGGCGCCTCCGCTGCCCCTGCCCTCGCGCCTGGCGTCCTCAGGGGCTCCTTCGCAACCACGACTGCGTGCGCGCGCGCGCGCACGGGCCTGGCTGGTCCATGGGCACAAACAATGCCCCGCGGCCGGCCGGAACACGCCCGAAATGGGCGTCGAGGCGAGACCGAACGGAGGGGGGGGGAGGAGGGAGGGTCGCGTGCGCCGAAAACTCCCTCCCCCCCCACCCCACCGAGGCCCAAGACAAGGGAGCGAGGCGTCGGCAGAGGGGGACTCCCCCCCCCCCCCCCCCCCCCGCCCCCGGGGAGGAGCGCATGCGCGGCCGGGATCGCGCGCTCTGGAGGCCCATGTGGGACCCCACAAACAGAGGATCCCCCTCCCCCCGCCACAAGGGACGAGAGAGAAACATGATGCTCCGGCAGGAGCAGGGCCGCGAGTGGCTGGCGAACAGGCCGGGGTCTGCCTCCGGGGGGGGGGCGGGGGGGGGGGGCGGCGGAGAGGGTGGGGCCGCCACAGGCAAGAACGGGACCCCGAGGAAGGACGCAAACGCGCCACCCGGGGAGACACCGGGAGCCAAAGAGAAGGACAGGCCCGGGCGCGCCGGGGGAGCCCCGGGAAGGTGCGAAGTAGGAGGCAGGGAAAACCTCCCACCTCGGGGGAGCGGGGGGGGGGGGGGGGGGCGAACAGGCGCCATGGCCGCCAGCCTGGGGTGAGCTCCTGGGGGGTGGTCTCACACTGTTTGGGGCCGGACCGGCGCCGTGGACTCGCGGCAGCCGCGCGACCGGAGGCAAACAACAAAGCCGGCACCCTCACAATACGACCACGCTTCCCGGAGTCAGCCCACTCCCCCGGCCGCCGGGCCCCCGCTCGAGGCAGGAGGCCGACAGACGGGAGGCCGCGCGGCGCGCCGGCGCCCCGAGGAGACGGCGGAAAAGCGGCCAGGCGGGACCGGCGCCGTTCTTGGCAACCGGGCCCGAGCCGGCCCCACAGGGCCATGCATCCCCAGGCCGCCCGGCCGCGGGCCGAAGCGTTGTCAAGGGATCGCGGGTCCCCACGCCCGGTGGCCGGCGCACGCGAGGGCGGCCTGTGGCCACGAGCCTCCTGCTGGCCCTCGCCGCCGCCGCCGCCGCCCGGTGTGTCCCGATCGGCGATCGCGACCGCCCAAGGATCGGGGAGTGCCCAAACGCACAGGCAGCCCAGGGGGCTGGGGAATGGGGGGCTGGGTGTGTGTGTGTGTGCGCGCGCGCGCGCGCCTGCATGTGTGCGCAGGAGTGTGCGCATCCACGGGGGCGGGGGTGGGGGCGCCCGCGCCCGCGGGTGGCACTCCCCCGCACCGGGGGTTGGAGTGTGCATCCAAGTGCGCCATTCACCCTGGCGACAACAAGCGCCGGGCTGCGGGCCGCCCGGGCAGACGGCCCTCCGCCTGGCCGGACCGGCCCCGGGGTAATTACTCATCGAGATGGGCCCGGCGGTTTGGCGTGGCGCAAACAAAGCCCAAGAGCAGCGGCGAGCCCCGCACCTTGCCCCCGCCCCGGCCGCCGCGGACCCGCTATGGGCTCCGCGCCTCAGGCCACTGGTTGGGGGGGGGGGGCGGGGGAGGGGGGCCGGGGGCGAAGAAATGCCCGACGCAGTTGAGGCGCGCGCAGGGGCCAGCCAGGAAGGGAAAAAAAAAGACACAGACGGCCGAGCACGACCACATGGCGGGAACCTTCCAGCTAAAATGAGCCACCCGCGTGGGGACACAGCGACAACCCGCCAGCTGGGGCTGGACCAAAGGGCGCCCCTTGCCGCGTGAGCGACGCAAACAAAGGTGGCACACATGCGCACACGAGTGCGTGCGTGCGCACACACGCAAGGGACCCCCTGTGCCGCCACAGCGGCCCCGGCTGAGGACGCGGTCCGTGGGAACCGACATTCACAGGTTCGGTGTACGTGACTCTCCGGAGGGACAGCTGCCCCCTGACGAGGCCCGGGCAAGCTTCTCTTCGAATGTTTTCCCCCCCCGCCCCCCCTCGCCGCTTCCTCTGTGCCAAAGGCACTCGCCGGGGGTCTTGGCTCTCGGCGAGGGACGGGAAGGGCCGGGGACATTGGAGGAGAGGCGCGCCGGGGTGCATGCGAGCACATGCGTTCGCACGCGGCGCAAAGGCGTGCCAGACACGCGGAGGACCGAGGCCGGGATCGCCCCCCGGCATGGGTCAGGGGATGAGTGGGAACAATCCTCCCGGCCGTGACGGCCGGCCTCTCCCCCGAGGCTGGGCACATGCGCCGGGAAGGGGCGACGGGGCCACACGCATGCACACGCCGCAGACCGCCGCACGCCTGGGCCCATTGGCGCGGCGTCCGAGGGCCTGCGGCTGTATATCCACAGGTGAGGAGCGGTACCGACCCCACTTTTCACCGGCGGTCCGCCCTGCACACAGACACACACACATACACAGCACAGGGGGGGACAGACACGCGGCCGGCTGAGGAGCCCCTCCCGGGAGGCACACATGGGCGGCGGGATGTTCGCCCAGGCAGCCCGGGGTAAAGCGCCGACGCCGGGTGGGGAATTTAAAATGGCCCGCGCAAAGGACTTGGGCCCCAAGGCCCGGTGGGCAACCGGGCTGCCCGGCCCCGCGGGACCGGGGGCATGTGTCCCTCTTTCCCGTGGGGGAGTCCTGCCTTCCACGGTCGGTCCCTCCCCCTGTGGCACTTTCTCGCCTGCGGGGGGGCAGGGCGCGCGGGACGCCCAGGACGCACGCCACATGTCGGACGCCGCACGCCACATGCCCCCGGCACCGCCGCATGCCACACGCCACACAAGAATGGGAGCAGAGATGGCGAAGCAGGGCCGACGCGGGGGCAGCCTCCGCTCGCCTGCCCCGCCACCCTCTCTCTCGGCCGTGTCGGCGGCGGGGGAAAGCCACAGCCCGCCAGGGCATGGGGTCCCCCAGGGCACCCCAGGCAGGGAGAGGGGGGCGAGGCGGGGGGGGCGGGGGGGGGGGGAGGAAGGCGCGGGCCCAGGGCACCAGCTGCAGCAGGCCCACAGGCGGAACCACACAGACACGCACCGGCGTCGGTCCCTCGACCTGCGCCATGGCATGGCGTGAGCCGACCGTGTGCGCCTTTGTTTATATGCGGTTGCAAGGGACCCGTGGAGGTGGGGTTGGAACGGGTGCTCCAGCTCCGACATCACGTGCATGCTCCGTCGCATCACACATAAAGCCCGGCGGGCGAATCCCCCGGTCGGGCTGAGTGCGTCCGTGAACCCTGGGACAAACAAATGATAACGCCAATAACAGGCGCCCGCCCGGGGCCGGCGCGCCTCAACACACTCACACACACACGCTCGCACGCACGCACGCACGCACGCTGGCACAGAATCCCAGAACACACTCGGGCCGGCAAATCTCGGCGTTTTAACTCAGACGGTTAAACTGGCCTACTCTCCCCCCCCCCTCCGGCCTTGCTGCCAGGCCTCCGCCGAACACGGCAGAGCCGATGGAAGGCGAGGTGACAAGCGCCGCGACGACCGAGGGAAAGAGCAATGGACCGGCCTCATGGCCGTGCACGCACGATCCATGCCCTCTCATCATCGGCATGTATGTACGTATGCCTGGGGGGGGGGGGGGGGGGGGGAAGAGGGGAGGGGGCGCGGTCACCCCCAGTCTGACACATCGGGGCAGCAGCAGACCCAAAAAAACAAAAGGAAGGAACGGGGACTCGAGAAATGGCACCCATGGGGACGCCAGTGCAAAGGCAGGAGGAAAGTGGGTGTCCTCCTTTTGGCTACCCGGCGTCGTTGAACTGATCCAGTGCCGGAGGCGACCCGGGGCAAGGTACCGACGAGGGGGGGCAGGGACATGCGGCTCAGGGCTCCCGTCGTCCGCCCCGCAAGCTCGCACATCCAGCCACGCACGCTCGCACACACACACACACACACACACACACATACAAGCACGAAATCAACACACAGTCACTGGGGACATATTTTGAATGCCAGGGGGGTGGGAGAAAAGCCCAGGAGAGAGAGAGAGAGAGAAGCATGGTGCAGGGGAGGGAGAGGAGAGGAGAAAGGAAGTCAGGGAGGGGGAAATACATACTATAGAGGGAGTTCCAAAAGCGTCGGGGGAATCTCTCGTGGAAGTCTTCGGGCCTTCGAGGTGGATGGGCCGGTGCCAGTGAGAGGGCCGATTCCAGATCTGGCGGCGGGGTTTCCATGAGCCGGCGTGCCCGAATGCCCGTTTCGGTTGGGGAAAAGGCGCGTCAGACAGATGTCCTTCTGCGCCGACTCGGCGGATCGCTCACATGCTCACTCCTGGAAAAGGCGAGGTGGCGAGGGAAATGTCGAGCGCCGGGAGGCACAAAGCGGCAGG